TCACAAGTTTTTGTTTTTTCTCTTGCATAATATATATTTTTTATTTTCACATAATAATCTTTATTTTATAAAAAATAAATTAATCTCACCTTCGTCTGTCGTTAGGATGTTATTTTCATTCCATTATTTTCATTCAATCTTGATAAAAAGAAAAAGATCGAAGAAATGAAGATGCTTAGGAAGGTTTTCTCTCTCTCCTTTTTTGATGGCTGATCGTATCAAATATCATTTATATTTTCTTTCTGAGATACTTTATTCTATTTTTTTTAGCATAAGGTCCGGAATTCAAGAGACAAAGAGTAGATCAAAAATACCTTCCTTAAAGATATATGACTTTAGATATATCTGGGTACGACAATAGTGGTCAATGAGGTGGAGATGTAGGTCGAAGCTTAGGAATTATTTTATTTAACCGACCAGTAGACTCGGAGTCAAAGTCAGCTGCTTATAATTGTGCTTTAGGATCCACAAATTGGCCTTCTTGAAATATAACTGTTGGGGAAAGACCTTTCAACTTTAAAAAAATAGTAAGATCAGAATGAATATATCAAAAAATCAGCACAAATTAAAGTGATTTAATGGAAGATCAAAATCTTTATCACAAATCACAAAATCCATGTCAACCCAAGAAAAATTAAGGGAAACCTTAGATATTGCTCGTCGACGTTAGATTTCCAAATATATCCCAACAGAATATACATGCTTATAAGAACACCAGCTTAATGAGTTTGATTACATGGCTTAAAAATACTACAGGAGAAAGTTTGCTACATGTATTCTATCTGTGGAGTACTTGGAGGTATAGGCCTTGATCAATGTGGAGAGTCGTCATGGTTCTGTACTCAACATCCTTCTTCTCGTCACCAAGCTTGAACTTGAAGAAGCGTAGGAGCACCGCTGCAAATATTTTCATCTGTCTATAGGCAAACTCTTTCCCCAAGCAAATTCTTGGACCAGCCTGCGATGAAACATGGCCATTTAGATTTGGATCAGTACGCATGCAAGCTTCTTTCTCGAGAAGGCCCAAACCCTAATATCCTGATGTTTCCTCACCTGAAAGGCTGAGAACTTGTAGGGGCTCTCAGGCTGGAACACACCACCATCATCCAGCCACCTCTCCGGGCGAAATATCTCGGCATCCTTTCCCCACAGGTATTCCATTCTTCCCATCGCGTAGGGTTGGTAGAACACAATATCACCTTTCCTCACATTGTAGCCTCCAGGTAGAATGTCATCAGCAAAGCACACCTTGTTTTCCTGCATTTCATACATACTTAGTGTGCTTCAACAGTCAACGTTCTCTATCATTTTGACTTACCAGGGGAACCGCAGGATATAGTCTTAGTGTCTCAGAGAGGGCGGCATGAAGATAGTGCATGTTGTTGAGTGACTCGTCATCTATGCTCTCCGCGAATGCATCAAAAGCTGCATCTTCACTGGCTTCAATCACTTCCTTGATTTCCTGATAGATCTTCTCTTGCACCGGTGGGTCCTTGCAGATCGAGTAGAAGAACCACGCGAGCGTGCCTGCCGTGGTGTCTTTTCCAGCAATCATGAAGTTAAGAATTATGTCCCTCAGATATTTTAAATCTATATTTTGTGGATCCTTTCTGCTCTCCTCCAAAAATCTTGACAAGATATCATCTTTCCCTTCCTGTAATTATGACAAAAAGAGTGATTAATCATCTCTCAGATCATCCACAAAAGGAAGGGCGTACTTGAAGGATTCACTCACCGAATCACTTCCTTCGTTTGACATTTCTTCCACCCTGATGCGTAGCAGTTTGTATATAAAATCGTCGACGAATTTGACTTTTGACTTGAGAGTCTTCTCACTGCCGATGTTGAGAAATCTCATGACCTTCCAAAAGGCGTTTACGTATCGCATCATGATGAACTCGTTCGAAACATCAAATGCCTTGGCAAATTCACTTCCGCGGTTATCAGAATCATCCAAGCAGTTCAACTCCAATCCGAATCCGATTTTGAATATGGAATCCATGGTGGATTTCATCAACAGGTCCTGTTGACGTTTGCAGATCACAAGCACTTACGTTGACTTGTTGATTAACGGGAGAAGCATGCATGTGGATCCTCTGAGAACAAGAAGGGATCTGATACTTACTTGCATGTCAAACTTCTCATCGGAAGTGGCATAGGAAGAAAGGACGTGAGCAAGCTTGACTGCGTTACGCTTAAAAATAGCACCACTAAATTCTCGCAAGACTTTTGTAGAGAAGCCAAAGCTGGCAAGTTTTCGTTGATGGCGCCACTTGTCACCGTCTACTGCAAATATACCATCTCCGAACAAATCCTTCATGTTTCCGTAGTTATACCATCCCTGAATCGAATTAGGATAAACATGATTATTAATCTACCAAGTATTATGCTGTCATTATCTTAATTAATAGAACTTATGAGATTGCCCTTTGGTAACCCCATACTTCGTATAACCATTAAAAAACTAATAAAACAAATATCATTTTTGGGTATATAACTTAATATCTTAAATCCTAAAAATATAAAAAACTGTTTTTCACTTCCTCCTATTCGATCTTCATATCATTGAATTTGATTATTTATGTTTTTCATGCACAGGATATCTTAGAAATATGAAAAGTTATTAAGATGAGATTGTAAATAATAAAACAGTTGCCAATAGAGATATCCTAAAATTTATAATAAAAATCTCAATAAGAAATTAAATTTTTATTAATTATTGAACTAAAATGGAATATAATTGCTTAAGTTTCCGATGAGAACTAGTCATTGAAGTCGGGAGATTACAATAATACCTTGCCGTAGTTATCAAAGTTGGTCTTGAGGATGTACTCGACGACGGCGGGATCGGTGGTGTAGATCTGGTGGCAGAGGGGTGAGAACAACCTGAAGATCTTGTGCTTGACAGAAAGCTGCGTGTGGTAGTCATGAAGCCTTCGGAAATTGAGGAATTGATGGAAGATGGTGCCGACCACCGGAGGGTATCTCTTCCGGTTGCTGTTGAGGGCTCTCCAGGTGCGGGTCGCCAGCAACAAAAGGCCTACTACTGCAGCAGCGAGAGAGACGAAACTAGAGAAGAAATCCATGGGGGCTTCAGGTGAAGATGTTGCTTGTAGAGAATGGCAACGATAAATAAGGATTGAAGTCTCTTGTTCGGGACAGGTGTTTGACGGACAGTCGGACACAACAAAGCAATAGGTGTACAAGAAAAAGGAGGATTCGTGTGGCTCTTTCCTGTTGCTTTGGCAATCCCGCCGCCGCACTGTCGTTTTCTTAGTCCACTATATTGTTCTTTTGCGGTGTGTTTCACGGAGGGGGAATCAGACAACCGAGTCGAGCTAATTTTGTCATTGCAAACTTCATGAGAAACATGTGAGCTTCAATGTTTCAGCTAAAAATTCCGACGAACGAACCAATGTCGTCCATAAGAAGACAAACATAGAAACTGCCGTGTTGTCTTTTCTTTTACTGTATGCCCATAGATATTCTGATGCTGTAGTGTTAGTCGTAGTGCTTACACGATCCTAAGCCATGAGATTTGGATATTCGAATTAGGGAAGCATATAGAAGCGCCTCAACGGGCAGAATATTTATGGGCATACAGAAGTCCTTCCCTCGGCTTTACATGGCGAAAGCTTGTTCCAGCAGCTGATGTTGCGTCCCTTCCGAGATTCCTTTCAAGATCTTCGTACCAGATGAGGAAACTGCAGAAAGAAGACAAGAGGCAGTTCTACGTCACTTACAAATTGGTGCATCCATCGAGTAGGCTTAAATATACCTTGTCGCTGATGTAGGCTTAAATGTAATCATTATTATTAAATATTTAATATAATAATAATATAACTGTTCTTTTTAAGATTTATAATTTATTATCATAAATTTTTTTATTTATTATGATTTAAATGATTTCAGTTTTTTATTCTTTATATATGAAACCGTTATTATTAAATTAAATGTTTAATATCATTAAAGTTCTTCGTTATAATCTAAACGTTATAAATTTGAATTAATTCTTGAACGTTATGATTTGGTGATAATAAATGTTCTTGATGGGAGAACATCTATATATATATGAGGATTTTGGTCTCTGGGCTCAATCATCTCTTTGAAACAAAAAAGCTTTCCTATACCATCTAAAGCGAGAATTCTGAGCCGAGAAGTGCTAAAGTTCAAGAAGAAACCTCTGTAGAAATTCTTGACAACAATGGTTGGAGGTACGCTATTTTATTTCCGCATCAGTTTTTATTGTGTTTCTATTATAATGATTTAGAAACACAAGTTAGTTTTAGTGATTTCTTACATTTGGTATCAGAGCCTTTTGACCTCTACCTTGATACGAAATATTTTTCATTTTTATGCCATGAAATTGATTTAATTTTGGTTTTTTCTTGGAAACTTCTTGATATATTTTATTGAAAATCATGAGGAAAAATCATTTTTAACATTTTAGTTGGTAAAATGTCCATATTATGTATGCATATATAGTTTATATTAAATTATACTTATGAGTAAATTTTTTATGTTTAAAATGTCCAGTGATCCATATAATCTTAATTAATTAAGAATTAGCCACAACATCCTTAATTAATTAAAATTATATATAAAGTTAAAATAAGGATCACATAAGTAATTAGACATCATATTGTGACTGATTATTTCATATAATAATTGTTATCCCACAAGATCTTTTATTATATTTAATATAATTAATCAAGATAAAAAAAATATCAGATTATTTTCATAATTTACCCACAAGGATTATGAATTGGAATATAATTTGATAGTTTTATCATAAAGACCATATGAATTTATTTGAATTAAGAATTTAGCCCACAAGCAATTTTTATGTCATAAGATTCATATTTTTGACATGTTTCACATTGGTAAAACATGTAATTTAGTCTATTAAGCTTCAATTTTTTGACATAAGCATGTTTGATTTTATGCAGTTTCTCAAACTGTTAATTTATCTGATATTCGATGTGATATTTCTGAACTTAATGGTGATAACTATAAGATATGGAAGGAGATGGTTCTCCTCCATTTAGGGTGGATGGATATCGATTATTCTATCAGGAAAGATGAACCACCTATCATCACTAATACCAGCACTCCAACTGAGATCACGTTATATAAGCGATGGGAGTGATCCAATCGGCTCAGCGTGATGTTTATTAAAACTAAGATGACTGCTGGCATACATGGTTCTGTTGACCAGCATGAAAATGTCCGAGACTTACTAAAGCTATCGATGAATAATTCGTCACTTCGAATAAGGTATTAGCAAGTACCCTTATAATAAAATTTTTATCCCTTAGACTCACCAACATAAAGGGTGTGCATGAGCACATAATGCAAATGTGAGATATTACGGTTCAACTTAAGAAACTTGAGGTTAATATGTTAAAATCCTTCCTGGTGCACTATATTTTGAACACTCTTCCACCTCAATATGACCCTTTTAAAATTTCATACAATACACATAAGGACAAATGGTCAATCAATGAATTAATGACCATGTGTGTTCAAGAAGAAGAGAGGCTAGTGATGGAATTGGGTGAGAGTGCATTGGTAGTAACCACTCGTGGGAAGAACAAAACTGACAAACATCAAGCCAATCAGAAAGCTCATCAACAGGAAAAAGGTAAAATACCACCCCAAACTGATATCAAGAAAGAAGCAATGTGTTTCTTTTGTAAAAGAAAGAGACACATGAAGAAGGAATGCACGAAATTCCAACAGTGGCTTGAAAAGAAAAGTAAACCAACCTCATATGTATGTTATGAATCTAATATGGTCAATGTTAATATTAACACCCGGTGGATTGACTCTAGATCAACAATCCATATTGCAAACTCTTTGTAGAGTATACAAAACCTAAGGAAGCCAGTGGGAAGTGAGCAAAGTGTCTTATCAGGAAATAAGATGGGCTCACATGTTGAGGCAATTGAAACATGCATTTTAACTTTAAGTAGTGGTTTTGTTTTAAAATTAGAAAGGACCTTTTATGTACCAAGTTTCTCACGAAACTTAATTTATGTTTCCAGACTCGTACCATTTGGGTATTCCTTTAATTTTAAAGACACATCATTTCTTTTATTACATAAATCAGATTGTGTTGAGAATGATATTTTATCTGATGGTCTTTACCGTATTTTATTACAAAATGATAATACTCAAAGTTCAATGCATGTTCACGCTAGCATTAAGAGGTGTAATATTAATGAGGACTCCTCTATATTATGACATCGGAGATTAGGACATATCTCCATAGAGAGAATTAAGAGATTAGTTAAAGATGGGATACTTAGTACTCTTGATTTTACTAATTTTAAGATTTGTATGGACTGTATTAAGGGAAAGCAGACCAATAAGTCCAAAAATGGTGCTAATAGGAGTTCAGACTTATTAGAGATAATTCATACTGATATATGTTGTCCAGACATGGACATACATTGTTAGAAATACTTCATCTCCTTTATAGATGATTACTCACGATATATGTATATATATTTGCTTCATGACAAAAATGAAGCATTGGATGCCTTCAATGTCTTTAAGGCTAAAGTTGAGAACCAATGTGGTAAGCAAATTAAAATTGTGAGATCAGATAGGGGTGGACAATATTATGGTAGATATACTGAAAATGGACAAGCACCTGGTCCTTTTTCTAAGTTTCTTCAAGAACATGGGATTGTTGCCCAATACACTATGCCTGGTTCTCCAGACCAAAATGGTGTTGCAGAAAGAAGAAACCGAACATTATTAGACATGGTGCGGAATATGCTTAGCAACTTCAGTCTTCCTAAGTTCTTGTGGACTGAAGCACTAAAGACGACTGTGTATATATTAAACCGAGTTCCAATCAAGGCTATCCAAAAGACATCATTTAAATTATGGAAAGGTTGGAAACCGAATTTGTGACATATACACATTTGGGGATGTCCGTCTGAAGTCATGATATATAATCCATAAGAGAAGAAACTGAACCCGAGGACTATTAGTGGGTATTTCATTGGATATGCCGAAAAGTCCAAAGGTTACAAGTTCTATTGTCCATCTCACACAACTAGGATTGTGGAATCAAGAAACGCTAAATATCTTGAAGATGATGTGATTAGTGGGAGCGATCATTTCAGGAACATAGTTTCCGCACATGATCATATAGAATCTCAACCTTCCACATCAAATGATAGATTGGTTATAGTTCATAGCACTCCTCAAGTACAAACTAGTGCTGAACAACCAATCATTGAAATTTCATAAGTTGTTGATAGTATTCTAATAGATCAAGCAGTTCAGGAATTACAACAAGCTCCTGAACAACTAGTTGAACCACAAGTTCCTCAAGGAACCATTGGTACAACATTAAGAAGATCTACTAGAAATAAAAGATCAGCAATTCCTGTGATTATGTTGTATATCTACAAGAATCTGATTATAATATTGGAGCCAAAAATGATCCTGAAATATTTTCACAAGCCATGAGTTGCAAAGAGTCAAATTTGTGGCATGATGCCATGAAAGAAGAGATGAATTCCATGATGAGCAATGGAGTCTGAGATCTTGTAGAATTGCCTAATGAAACAAAGGCTATTGGTTGCAAATGAGTCTTTAAAACTAAGAAAGATTCGTTAGGCAATATTGAGAGGTACAAGGCAAGACTTGTTGCAAAGGGATTTACTCAAAAAGAGGGAATCGATTATACGGAGACGTTTTCTCGTCTATCTAAGAAAGATTCTCTACATATAATTTTGGCATTAGTTGCTCATTTTGACCTTGAATTGCAACAAATGGATGTGAAAACGGTATTTCTTAATTGAGATCTAGAGGAAGAGATTTATATGAAACAACCTGAATGTTTCTCCTCTAGTGTTGGTGAACACTTAGTTTGCAAGCTTATACGGCTTAAAACAAGCCTCCTGCCAATAGTATTTTAAATTTCATGAAGTGATTTCTTTATTCAGATTTATTGAAAATCTCATGGATCAATATATATACCAGAAGGTTAGTGGGAGTAAAATATGTTTCCTTGTTTTATACGTAGATGATATTTTGCTTGCAACCAACGATAAGGGTTTACTGCATGAGGTGAAACGATTCCTTTTTAAAAATTTTGATATGAA